CCCCAAAACCCCAAAACCCCAGAGACTAAATTATGAATCTACCCATCAATAGAAATTATTAAATTAAAGTCTCTAAATCAATTATTCATGGTATATTCAGTAAGCATCATGCTTATTGCCATTTTAAGCTGTGCCATTCTGACCTCTATTTATTAAGCTTCCACCGTTACCTCCACCTAGAGGATTACTCATGTTATTCATAATATTTTCTAACTATCTCTACTGTTCATCTCTTATTTTAACCTACTACTCTAACTTAGTCATTCTTTCCTGAGCCCCCTTATTTTCTACATTTAGACTATTCTTCAATGATTCTAAACTCTCCATTTTCTTAATGATCTCTTGAGCCTTGGTGCTTGCATCTAATTTTGGATCTACTCCTAACTTTGTGCACAGATCTTGCATCAGCTTAGTTGATTTTTCAGACATCTAATTCCTCTCATCAAAATCAGCAAAATACTCAGCTAGGATGGTATCTTAACTTGGGCCAATGATGAACATAAAGGCAGTGATAGTAATCACAATACCTTACATTATTCCAAATAAGACTTAATCTTAAGAGTTGTAATGAAGGTATATCCGACTCGAGTAAAGTAGATAACTATAGAGTCCAGTTAAAGAATGAATTATCATTTAATTTGTTTCAAAAAGATTTCCTTTATGCAAAGATGTGTAGAGATGACTAAATTGGATTTTAAACATCAGTATATTCTAATTACCCTACAAAAAAAGCTGAAGCTACTGCTGATAACTCAGAAGGATTTCCCATTGAAGCTGCATTGTTAAATAAACAAGCTTCTTTTGGCCTTGGTTCTTCATAAGCTCTCTTTAAAATCTCACCAAGAAGTTTCTAAAAGAATTATTTTAGAATACAGGTCATATCAAAATAATTACTTAGAAAAATGACATTGCGCAAACTCTTAGAATTCCTCTGTGCCTTAACTTTATAAAAAGTAGGAAATGCCCAATAAATATGAATTAACAAATAACTGATACGAAAATCATAGCGTTTTCATAAAGCACCGTGAGTATGTCGTATTCATCCTCCATAAAGAATTGGTAAAATAAAAATTGTGGGTTTCTTGGACAGGACTCTGTAACTCTCAAAAACAGTGGACATTAATTGCATCTTTCGCTAACTTCTGAATTCATTTTTGATTATTATAATTTACTAGTTTTAATTATCTATTTATTCTCTTTTAAAGGGGTTTTGGGGTTTTGGGGTTTTGGGGTTTTGGGGAGATCGGAAGAGC